ATACAAGAGAGTGTGTTGCGGGGAGGGGAAGGGAGAGAGAGAGAGAGAGACACAGAGAGAGAGAGAGAGAGAGAGAGAGAGAGAGAGAGAGAGAGAGAGCGGGGATAGGGGAGATAGATTGATAATTACGAATAATGTACGGTCTTTTACTTTGGTATAACGCATATTATATACAAGCCAGTGGTGTCGGTAGACTATTGCTAGACTACCAGACCCGTAATCGTGAGATTGCGGATTCTGAGGTTCGAGCTTCTGCTCAACCCGGCATTATGTCTTTGTTTTAAAGAAAATTTTCCCATTTGGCGGGGTCCTTTTAGTGGTGGACGTTAAAATTCGATGTCCCGTCCTCTAAATCACTTAACAGTGTTGCAAAGGGCGTTAACCCTATACAATTTCAATTTCTCTCTGTCCTTTCTTCCCACCCTCTTTTCGTCCCTGAATAACTTCTTTATCCAATGTGTATATCTTAACTGTTCCTGGGTGGTCGAAAAAGGCGGCAGTTTCTTTCAAAACTATTTTTCTTTCACCTCTATGTTATGGACAGATTTGCGATGAGTTGAAGTCTGGAGGCGTCGTGAAGACGATCAAAGAACAACAAGTGCCGTACATGGTCAAGGGAAACGAGTGGATTGGCTTTGACAACGAAGAGAGCCTGAGAAACAAGGTGAGAGAGCGCTTTTAGATAAAAGTATGATTTCCTTGTATGAAAACGCCATACCTTTGATATGACTAAAATTGCCAAATTTGTTTGTTTTGGGGTTTTTTCAAAAAATTATTCTCAGTGCTCCACCAACAGATCTGAACTGTTTGGGTTGCCAAATTCGGTTCCGTACAATCTTCTGACTTTAGGCTTGCTCATTCAAGAAAAGATCATAACAGTAAAGCCAAGACCTGCTGCTTTTAAAACGGACCCCTAGCTACGAGACCCCTTCTCTCTCTACCAACCCCCATGGCCTCTTCTCTCTTTCTCGCATTCTCTCTCTCTCTCTCTCTCTCTCTCTCTCTCTCTCTCTCTCTCTCTCTCTCTCTCTCTCCCAACATACATCCGCGGTGAACGCTTTCTAATATTAAAAAAAAAAGACTTACTCGTTTGATTTGTTCTTACACAGGTACAGGACGTTCTCTCCATGTTTCGGCATGGAGCTACATTAAGTATAGCTCGTCTAACTCGTTAAAAAAAATCAGATTAATTATGACTGCCTGCTCCGATTTTTAAATCATACTTTTACCAATTATCTTATATCAAATTAATTGTCTTAATTATATTTTGGCCTCTTATCACAACAGTGTCTATTGTGAATCTGTTGCAACCATTGTTTTGCCAATTTGTTAGTGTTTGCGCGCTTAAGTGCAATGTATGCTTTACAGGAAGCCAAGAATGTTTCTGTGTGTTGAAGGGTCTGCTGCGGTAATAATGCATGTATTGAAAATAATAATAATAATTTCCCTTTTTCTTGTTTTGCATAATACATTCACAAATGTTGTCACGTTTTTACGTTCCTTATAGAATATTTTGGCACCAAATCAAGGATGGAACAAACAAACAAACAAATAAACAAACAAACAAATAAACAAACAAACAAATAAACAAACAAACAAATAAACAAACAAACAAA